CAAACGGTGGGAGGGCCCACGTGCCGCAAAAAAAAAAAAAAAAAAAAAAAAGTTTCTTGAATAACTTCAGAACTCAGTGGTTGTCTGACATATTTAGAAAAGGAGTGGCTGCCCCTATTGCCACCACCCCTGAAACCTCGCAGGAGACACAACCTAGCGTGGTCCCTTCTCTCGCCTGGGGGAGCGTCACACCAGCCGCCCTGTCTCCCTGCCTGTAACAAACACACCATAAGGAGGCTCGCTGGCCCCTGGGCCAGTGATGCTGTAAAAACGCGGCCTTGTCCTTGTGAGATTTGGTGTGAAGACAGCACAGAAACAGAACCAGCAAAGAAGGATCCTGGTCAGGAGTAAATCCCTCTCCATAGGGACCCTGTGAGACCCAAGCACTCCCTCTGCTAAGCCTGCTCCGACTGTTTGGGAAGGGGCCCTTGTGACTCTCCGGGCAGCAGGTGGGAGGGATAACCCAGTCTCCCTTCTGCCTCCTGAGACCAAGGTGGGCATCGGGGAAACAGCCACCCCTCTGACGGGGGTCCAGAGAGGGTGTCCCGAAAGGACAGGGCCTAGCCGTCCAGTGAGGCCAGGTCTTGTCCACACCGCACTGACCTGCTGGAGGGTCTTGGGTTTCCTGGCATCCGGCACTCCCACCGCCAACCCCAGCCTGCAGAGTCTCGGGAGCCCCTCACTGGCAGCCCCCCGGGGGCAGAAAGCCGCACAGCCACGGAGAAGGAGGATAAGCACGCAGGACAGGTGAGACCAGCATTGAGTGTCCCATGTCCCCTCTGCTCCCCAGGGAGCACCCCAGCCCCGGGCCAGCCATGGCCTTTGTCCTCTTCGGTAGTGTCTTTGCAGTTAATAGTCCCAGACACCTTCCTCTGGCGGGGAAGACGCAGTGACCGCGGGAGGCGTGAGGGCGGGGTGTGCTTTAGCCCTAAACCTGGGAAGCTGCAGAACTTCCTTGAGCCCCGAATGCACCACATGGGTAAACCTGCAGCAAGCCAGGCCAAGATCTGGACAGATTCTCTCTGGAAACACTTTTCATGTCCAACAAGTGAAGGTCCGTTAAACCCCCGTCCGACCCCGGGACGTGGGGCACGTTGTAACCATGGAAACTGAAGGGAAGGCTCTTGAGAGGCTTCTTCCTCGGTGCCTCCCCCAGTGGCCCCTGAAGGTACTGCACCCGGAGGAGAAGCGCTCGCTCTTGTCTCCTCACTTCGGGCCAGGCGGTGCCCACCCCTCACAGCCCCTGCTGCCCGCCTGCTTCTGAGTTGCATGGAAACCTACCGGTCACGAGGCCACAGCGGGCTCGTCTTGGTGAGCAAAAACAGAGGCCGGTGACGAGGTAAGATGGGGGCTCGAAAGATTTCGTAGAAGAAAAACGTGCACGTGTGTTCCTGTGTGTGTGCACATGTGTCTGTGTGTGGTGACCAGATGCTGTATTAATTGGTGTTGCCTATACAATTATGAGTGGCTTTTATTTTCTGTATTTTCTAAATTTCTTTTTTTTCTAAACACCTGCATATTACGAGAAAAAGAAAAAAACAACAAAGCTGTTGACATCAAGCACGAGAGCTTGCAAAATAAGATCTTAAAGTACATATTTCAGAATGTTACAGGAGTTTTCTCTGGGTGATAGATGAACGGCCTCCTACTTGTAAAAACGAACTTAAGAAAACCGCTTTGGTAAGTTTTCAGGGGCCTGAGCTTTGAGGACAGCGTCTGTGGGTGACACCCTCCCCACAGGCAGCTCTGCCTCAGGTACTGGCTGGGCTAGTGGCCGACCAGGCGGAGTCTGGCAGCCGAAGACCAGTTTACCCTCTTGTGCTCCGTGCTCACCTGCTCAGCTAGGGTCCCGGTAGAGCAGCAGGCAGGTGGGGCTGGCACAGCTATGGGGCCACTGCGGTCAGAGTGGCACATGTGATGGAGGCTGCTGGTGTCCTGTGTGCCCATCCAGGGCACCCGCAGTGTCAGGTGGAGGCCCTGCAGGCGTCCCGAGGCGAGCCCAGCGCGTGTCAGGCGGCGCACATTCCTCCGAGCCCCCCTTCAGCACGCGGATCGTGGCTGCCAGCAGCTGCCAGTGGCGGGAGGGTGCATAAACTGCCAGCCCCCTTGCTAGAGGTGAGCCGAGACTGAGTGAGAGGCCGGAGTGCCTTTTTGTGCCTGAACTGTGGGGTCGCACACCATCGCCGCCACCACACAGGTCATCCATCTTCTGTGCAGGCCGCGGATGATGGGGGCCCGGAACTCGGGGCGTCTTGGGGGCTGGCGGCCTCACCAGGAATGAGGTTTATTGCCAGAGGGGAGGGGAGGGGAGGGGGCAGGCCTTGAACGGCTCAGCCTTGCAGGGGATTCTAGGGCCACCTCTGGTGGGAGGTGCAGGTGAGAAGCCCCTGGAAGTTTCTGGGGCCCCTCCCCCACAGTATTTCAGTCAAAGCCCCTCTGCCGGCATCACTCCCAACTCCGTCCCTCCCATGGCCCCTGCTGAGAGCCGCAGAAGATGGAAAGTTTATGGTGCTTCTCTTCTCATAGGGAAACAAAGCCACAGACACACACATTCCCTTAAAAAAGCATGAAAGAAAGGAGCCAATAATAGTGTATGTTTGCTATTGACGTCCACATGGTTCACGTAGAGATGCTTCTTCACAAGCCTGCACGGGGAGGGGGGACTAAGGGCCGTTGTTCGCAGCCATGGGGTCTGGGCTCCCCCCTTCGGCCTTCCTGCACCCATTCTGGTGGGAACAGGACTGGGCCAAGTTAGGGCTCCCTCAGGAGCAGGGACGTTGTTCAGAGAGGAGAGGATGGGGCCTCCTTTCTGTACCAGAACTCAGTTCTGGGTCCAAGCACAGCGTGGCCTCTTGGAGCTGTCAGTACCCTCACCTACCCAGCGGGAGAGGCTTTGTGCCACCTCGTCCTCACGTGCAGCCTGTGCACCTGCGCTGCTGGCTCCACGGGAGCCCTGAGCTCCCGGGGCCTCGGGGCCGTTAGCTGTGAGCCCACACTGTGCGGGCCTGCTCTGCTCACAGCGTGCCCCATTCTCCACCAGACTTCTCTTAGAAAAAGTGAGATGAGGGATAAAATATTCAACAGTTAAGAATTTCAAGGTGGTGACACTGTTGCACTGAAGCACACAGGCCCAGGTACATGACACGTGCGTTAGAGAAGCTGTGGTGTGGGCTTCGAGGACACTGTGTGCAGCGGGGCAGGAGAGGTTCCAAGACTCACGGGTGGTCCGGTGCCTGCAGGCAGGGCTCCAGACTCCGTTCTCAGCAGGTGTGGGCGAGGGCCGCCTTTCCCAGGTGACTGTGTGTAGAGGGGCTCTGGGGCTGCCCAGGCTCAGCGGGAAGGGCAGCAGTGGGAAGGGAGGTTGCCCGCACTTAGCATCCTGACCTCTCACCTCCTCGTCAGGGCAGCTAAGTCTGCAGGTGAAGCAGCTGTGTCTGACCAGTGCCTGAGTGGCCCCTTCTTTGTCCAGCTCTAAAGACCTGGAAGACGTGGGCAGGGAGAGAATAACAAAGGGCGGGGCTTGCCCTCTCAGCCAGCCTCTGTGCCAGATTCTGCCTGTGCTTATCCATCAAACCAAAAGACTGGCGCTCCCATCCCATCCCATTTTATAGATTAGAAAAGAGGCACAGAAAGGTTGAGCACCTTGCCATAGGTCACACAGCTGGTGAGGGCAGAGCTGAGAACTGACCCACTATGGTTGGATCTGGAGTCCACATGCTGTGCTGACCCTGAGGCGACAGCAGAGAGCGAGGGAGACCAGATACCCCAGATTGAGCCAGGCACAGAGGCATGCACACACACATGCATGAGGCCTTCACCTTTGAGGCTACGGAAGTCAGAGGAGACCAGAGAGGAATGAGGAGAGGCCAAGGGAGAATGCCCTTCCAGGGGTTCAGTTCCTACGGAGACCGGGGCTGCGAGTATGAGTTCTCTGTGGCCCTCTTGGACCCCACTGCTTTCAGTGATAAGGGGGGAATGAGGTACACAGTTTGGGCTTCAGATTTGTATGGAGACAAAATTTATTAAAACAGGAGTCCAAAAAACCATGAAGGGGATTGGTATGAACATCTCCAGGGCAATTAAGAAACCCTCTGCTGTTTATCTACCTTCTCTCTTATCATGAAAGCGGAGGATCTACTTAACCAGTTATTTCTGTGCTCATCACACTCTTAGGGAATGTAAGGGGTCATAGACTTCCTTTGAAGCTCCCTCAGAGCCGAGGTATGTGGTGGCTACATTTATCCTCCCGTGGCTAAGATGTGGTTTATTGGTAATGACTCCCTTATCCTCCCCGCAAACATAGGGCTTCTCCCCTGTGTGTGTCCTCTGGTGTCTGATGAGATGTGACTTTTGACTGAAGTCTCGCCCACACTCCCCGCAAACATAGGGCTTCTCCCCTGTGTGTGTCCTCTGGTGTCTGATGAGATGTGACTTTTGACTGAAGTCTCGCCCACACTCCCCGCAAACATAGGGCTTCTCCCCTGTGTGTGTCCTCTGGTGTCTGATGAGATTTGACTTTTGACTGAAGTCTCGCCCACACTCCCCGCAAACATACGGCTTCTCCCCTGTGTGTGTCCTCTGGTGCTTGGTGAGACTAGACCTATCCTTGGAGCCTTGCCCACAGCCTCTGTACTTGACTTTTACAACTCTTGATACTCCTGCCCCCATGAGTAATTTGCCTGTGGCCTCTGGATTCACTTTCTGGCCTGTGCTGGGCCCTGCCTCCATCATTCTCTCATGTGCCCTAGAGCTCCCCATTTGTCCTTTGGGAGAGTAGGAAAAGGCCCTTGAAATCCTCCCCAGCCTTATCCTTTTCAGCAAAGGTTTGGACCTTTCCTTGACCTCTTGATATTCAGGTATGTTACTCCAGCTGTGTGGGTCAGAATATTGCTGCTGCCAATTTTGATAGCCTGGGCAGGGATCCTCTGGTTGTACGCGGTCTCTTGCAGATGTTCTCGGGAGGACCTGAGACGGGTGACTGCATTCCACGTGTTGGCTGAGGATTTTCTGACTGGAGAAGGCCAGAGAGCAGGAGCCACATGGATGGATGTTGGGCTTTGGGTCTGCTGAAAGAGGAAGCTTCTGGTCAGGTAGATGGTTTGTCTCCGGTAAGGCCTGAACCACTAATCATCTCGGTGTTGACAGCGCAAGCTCTGTCTCCCAGCAAGTGTGCCTTTACAGTCTACTTTTCCATTCCATTTTTACTTACTCCGTCTTCTTCAGAAATCCAGAAAGCCCATATCAAGGGCCTCTTCTACCTGTGGCCCTGACTAGGGACCTTCAAGTAGCATCAGAGGCAGCGTCACTCCTTATAAGAGGTGGAACTGCAGTGACTTTTGCCCACATAGGAGTATCTGAAAAGTCCTATCACTTTGTGACAGAGGGGCCACAGGTATTCTATCCTGTTGGGAGAGAACACTCTTGACGATAGGTGGAATCGCCCCGAGTGACTTCCTACAAGGGGAAGGAATTTATTAAGTTAGGGGCACTCATCCTGGAGATCTCCAGATGTGGAAGGCAGGGCAGGGTAGTGGTTAGAGCACCTGTGAGGAAAGCTGGATTTGAGGCTCCTCATTCACAGAGACATATTAGTTGAGCAGCCATTGTGTCTGAATCTCTGTGAGGAAGTGGGATTCAGATTGGACAAGACCGAGTGGTCCAGGTCCCACTGACTAAAGGACTCTGGCTCCTGATGCCCCAATTAGGTCATGAATTGCTTCTCTCTCAGTTTTCCATAAAGTGGAAAATGAAAGTACGTCCTTCCTCAGAAAGCCTCACGAGTATTCACACCTCGTTGACTTCAGCCAGGCTTAGTCCGTTTAAAATGCAGTGGGAAGAGCCCTGTTTAAAAATACACCCCAGCTCCTGCCCTTCCTCAGCCGGTCCGCTCTCCCCCCTCACCTGGTGATGAACTGACCTCTGGGCGGATTCCCCACTGCTATATCTTTCCAAACAATGAGCCAAAGCATCATCTTAGAGCAGAGAACATGCCCCCTGCAGCTGAAAACCACACGGTGGTTTCACGTCACCCAGGGGGACCCCCATGTCCCCCCTGTGCCCCCATGTGGAGCACAGGCCCTGAGGCCTCCGTGTTCTGTCCAGCCTGCTTCCTCTCCCTCTGTGCTTCCTTCTTTGACCACCTGCATGGCCTCTCTTTCGTGCCCTGGTGCTGCGGTACTGGCCGTTCCCCTGCCTGGAACACTTTGCCCACAAATGCTGTCTCTGGAGAGCGCCACACCCCACCCCTCCGCTCACAGTGATCCAAGGCACTTTTTCTGGGCTACTTTTCCTCAGAGCACTAATTGCTGTCTGGTATGAGGCACGTGCCGCTCTAGGGCAGTGATTCTGACGGTCCTGTTCAATCTCTATTTACAGTTCGTGGAGCCCTGTCTGGCACAGTGTATGAACTCATGTGACAACGAACCGAAATGGTGACTGAACGCAAATCAATGTGTACACATATCATATAGAAATATGGAGGAGATAAAGAAGAAATGGCTAAAGGTGAGAGAGCTGGTAGGTGCTCGAAAACTTGTTTTTTTCCTCTAAGCCTTTCAGCCCTGTATGATGTTATATATTTTTTGCATGAGGGATTAAAAAAATTAGAAGAAAAAAATTTTAATATAAAAAGTTTCCCTAAGAGTCAAAGGCTTATGGATCAATTTCTGAAGCACCTTAATTGAAACTTTGCTGACTCCAGACTGGAGTTTACCCTGACCGAGAGCCGGACCACGAAAGCTCCCCAGGAGCGCTTCTTGCTTTGCGTTGGAAG